TTTTGTTCGGTTGCTTTGGATTTTACAAAAAGCTCAGAAACTTTCGAACAAAACCAAACACCCGGACGACCCTCTCCGGCGAGCGGCGAAGACGGCAGATAGGCTGCGTCGCCCAAGCCCTGAAAGAGAGGAGCGAAGATCCGGAACGCGCCAACTCACCCCGGGCATCCTGCCCGCTGCCTGCTCCCTGCCCCCAACCCCTCGACGACCCCCGCCCCTGCCCCCCGGGCTGTTCGGGGCCGGATCCCGGCAGCGGCCTCCCCACAGCGACAGGTAACGCGGTACGGGGTTAGGGATTCCCCGGGAGAGAGGACGAAGAGAGGAGGGTTTCCCATCCTTCTCCCCGGCGCGGATTCCCGAGCCTGCGGGTCGAGGGTGGGGGACTGTCACTTTATTCGCTCCACGCCTCTTCTCTTCCATAAGGATGAGCCCCATCCCCTTTACCCTTCCTCCGGGCTTGGTTTTTTACGGTTTTTATTTATTCATGGAGCCTCTCGGCTCCTGGGTTCCTTCTAACTCCGCCCGCGCCCTTAATTTAAATCGCTGTATACTGTATTTATCGGGGCCCCGGAGGGGAGGCCGCGAGAGCCGCGTCTGTGTATAAAAGCAGGAAATAGCCAAAGCTTTAATCTAGCCTAATTTATTTTTTCCCTTACCTTCCCCTACCCTACCCCCAAGAAAGCAAAACAAAAAAAAACAAAAACTAACAAAAAAAATTACGAGTGTTCATTTTTCGTTTCGTTTTATCCGAGCTTCGGCTCGGTTCCCGGCCTCGCCGGAGGGGTCTGCGCTCCCAGGCACACCCAGGTGGGAAGGGGCTTCTGCCCGGCTGCAGACCGACCACTGCACTACAGGGCCCCCGCTCCCCGCGGGACCCCGCCCTCCTGGCCACAAACAAACGAAACTTGGAAAAGTTGGAGATATTTTTTAACCAGCTGTAGAAATAAGCCGTTCCCTGAGAACCTTCTGCCTGAGTCCTTGCAGCTTCCATCCGCTCCCTTTCCTGCCCCCTGGGATGCAGGATGCTGGGGGAGGCCTGGAGAGAAATTCCCCAAGTCTGGGGTGAGGCGGGAACCATGTATATATGTGAGATATGTACACACTGGCGGGGAGAAAGAAACATTTTGTGCTTGGTTTTTATTTTTGGTTTTCCGGGTTGCCCTCCCTTCCCATCCTAAAGGATTTTGTACACCCACTAACCCGAAAAAGATATTTTAATATGATTTCCAGATTTCTGATCCATCTCTATTTATTTTCTGGATGTTTTTGGAGCTTCCCCCTTCTCCATTTCTTGTTCTGTTTGTTACCGTTTGAATTTAAATTTTGTTATTTTATTTTTATTATTTTTTGGAACAATGTTTTGGTGCATTCTCTTTGTATCTTTATTGCAAAAATGAAAATAATGTAGACTGGGAAGTTCCCTTTATATTTATGTTATAGTAAATATTTTATTACTCACATAAACATGTACCCCAGGGCTGTGTCCTGTCCTCTTTACTACTAGGGCTGGGTTGGTTTGTGGGGAACCTCAAGGGATACCCTGATTCACCTCCCCAAAAGTTCTGGCCTCACTGTCTTGCAGAAAGGTGACCTTCCAGGCCAGTATCAGGCTGCCGGTTACTTGGGCAACAGTTGGGCCCCTGCCTCAGATGAGTGAGGTTAGGGAGGATGAAGCTGCCCGTGTCCCCTCCCACAAACAGACTCTACTGCGACCAGACCAGGGCGTAAGACGCTGCAGACACCTACGGGATTTGGGTCAGCCATTCCTCAGGCACAACTCAACTGCTCTTCTGGGTCAGTGAAGAAGCCTGCCTCTCTCTACCTGGACCACCAGCCCAGCATCTTTGTATCCTCCACCTGACACCCCTCACCCCTGACTTTGTTTCGCTTTGTACTCCCTGGGTGGGGCCCAGGCCAACTTCATCATTCCAGGTCCTGGGCCAGTAGGAAGCCACGTCAGGCCCCGCTGGCCCACCCCAGCTAGCTTACCACCCTCAGACAGTACCCAAACCTGCCTGAATCCACTGGGAGTTCTGACAGCTTAGACAGGGGTGCTGTGGGAGTTGAGCAGCCAGGGGAGAGACCCCTGCCTGTTTGCTTGGGCAAAGCCAGTCCTTCTTCTCTGCAAACAACCTGCCCCAACTTCTTTTGTGGAGCAGGAGCACAAACAGCTGGGCCACCAGAAAGCCCTGGCACCTTCTCTCTGGGGACGGGTCCCTAAGGGAACCCGGGACCCATCCCCAGGGAGTGACGCTTATACCTATGGGAGTACTCAAGGCCCATGCAGTCATGACCTGGGGAGAGAACACAGCCATTCTCAGACACCCCCCTCTCAAGCTTTCAGCACAGCAGGCCCCCCCGCCAGAGTCAGGAAAGAGGGGGCAGCTCTGGATTCCAGGACCAGAGCCCGAGACTACCCATGTCCCAGTCAAGGTCTTCTTTCTCCTTTAAAACAACTCCTTTTAAAAATGCTAATAAAACAGCCCTTCCTGTTTCCTCCGTAGACGCAGTTATTTTCCCTTATGAGGAGAAACCACGGTGTTTCTCTTACTCTTCGTGGAGACAAAGCTCAAAAACACCAACGCTTGACTAGGGAGAAAGTCATGCCCCTAGTGAGGGTCTGTGTGTGGCCCCCTCCTGCCAGGGAAGCTGTCCAGACCTGTGAGAGTCCTTGGCTCCAGCTGACAGCATCTTGAGTGCCCAGAGAGATGTTCCCAGGCCCCCGAGTTGGCTGGCTCTGGCAGGCTGGGGCCTCGGGATGACTGGCGCGATGCTGAGGGTCCCTGGCTCTGCCCCTAAATCTCAGGAGGAGTCGAGTTCTCTGCAAGTACAAAGGCCACTGTGGTTTTCCAAGGCTCAGCTTCTCGCTGCTCCTTTTTCTCCCTCTCCCTCTTTCGGTCCAGCCTAGTGAGCGATTAGCCCTGCAGTTGGCACCCGCGTCCCAGCCATTCCATTCCCCGCACTGGCAGGCCAGGGACCCTCCCCAGTCTTCTTAAAAGGTAGGCTGGAAACTTTACCTGCCGGTTGGGTGACAGCATCCCCTGGAGCCCCTGGCCACCCTGCCTGAGCCTCTCATTCCCCGCTCTAAGTACAGAACTTCGAAGTGGTCCCACACTCCCGCCTTGTCTCTCCCTTCCTGGATTTGTCCCAGCCTCGGGGCCCTGAAATGGGAGCAAACATCACTCAGAGCCCCCTGCCGCCCGCGCTGCCCTGAGCCACTGCAGGTTTGGAAGTTGGAAAGAGCAGCCGGGAAGACAGAGCCTTTTCTGGCCTCTGCCTGCAGCTGACACCAATTGATTGATTGATTTCCTAATTGTCTGCTTAATCCCATCCAAGAGGGTGGATTTATTATTTAAGCAAGTCAACTCAAAAACAGCAAAACAATGTGGCCCCCAAGAACCAGCAGCAGCTGAGGAGTAGTACAAAAAGAAGGAAAAAAAGTGGGCAAAGAGATGGGAAAAATCTCCCGGCTGGCGAGGATTTTGCTTAATGAGACACCAGCCTGGGACAGCTACCCTGTCACCCACCGCGTGGTCACAGAAGGCCTCTGGGGGCTCCTTCCCCCAGTCTCCAGCCTGGGATAATGGTAGGAACCATAGCTAACTGTATAAGGAGGAAACCTTAGGAAATACAGAGAAATATTTTTCCCTGGAGTCTCCCTGGATAGAATGGAGTCCAGGAACGGCAGTCGGCTGTGAGCTTGACCGTGGTTTTTCCATCCCAGATGTATGCAGATCTACCTGCTCCCTCCTGAGACCTTCAAACTTCCTTACCTTCAAGAGAGCAGATGTCCCTAACATTGACCTCCCAGGAGGCCCAAGCTTTTCCCCGGCAGATTTGGGATTTCCTGATCCCATCTCCCTCCCCTTCTCATTTGAACAAAATGATTTCCTAAGATCATGCAGCCACAGATTCTGGTAGAGAGAGCTTCCCTCTCCCTACGTGAACCTCTGTGTGTTGGTGGACGAATTTGTGTGTGTGCTTCTGTGTGGCTCCCAGGCATAGCAGGGGGAAGAAAAAGTCCCTGCTAAACTGCTACTGCTTTGAGCTGGGAGAACATTTGCAGTCGGGGATTGGCTAAAATAGGAAGACGGAAGGTAGCCACTGTGGTCACCTGTGATTATCCAGGCAGACCCAGAAGGTACCTGGCCCTGAAACTCAAGGACATCTGAATTTCCCACCCACCCCCGCCCCCAACCATCTTCCCCAGGAAGTGGCCCTGGCTTCTATGCTGCATAGCTGAGGACCTGTCAATCATCCCTTGACCCCAGGATTCAACTGGATGTCCACAGTCCACCCCCAGCCACAGCTGCCCACTTTGTGCTCTTTAGAATCCGGTCTCCTCTGGAGAGCTTCAGGGCCTGCATGTGGGAGGATCAGGCCCTCAGTGACACACTCAGTCCCAGGTTTTCCCCAGGAGGGCTTGAGCTCCAGAAGGGAGACACACCTGGGCAGTGAGAGGAGGTTGGTTACCTGGCCTAGCTGCTCCCTAAAGGTTTAGCAAAGGGGATCCATCCGGGACGTCAGACTTAGTCACCGAAGCCAGAGTAGCCATCAATCTTGTCCTTGCTTGGCATATTTGAAGGCCCTGGAGTTAGCATTTGGCCCTTCGTTCAGGGCTCCCCTTGCCACTTGGGAGGCCTCTGTGTGGGAGGACTGCCCTCTATTGGTCCCTGAGCTGGGACGTGGCAGCAGTCACCAGGGCCACCTCATGGCTGAGCATACCCCAAAATCAGCGTCATGTTGGCTACTCTACAGCAGGTGCCAGGTAGAGCACAGGCAGCTCCCGCCTCCACAGGACGCTGTCCTGCTTCACACACACACAGGCTGGCCCAGGACCCTTCCTTCTCCATCTACCACCCTGCCTGTTCCCACAGCCGTTCTCAGAAATTCGCCATCACAGCTACCTCCTCCATCTCTGTCTCACTCCCAATCACACCCATCGCCCCCACGCCTCTCAACCAGCTAAAACCCCGAGGCACACTCTGCCAGCTTGCTCGCTCACGCACATGCTGACACCCTCACGGGCACACCCATACACCATTTGTCTGTCCAATGCCAGGGCCTTTGGCACTGAGCCCTTCAGAGTCACTGGATGCCTGACACCTGTGCTATTTGATGTAACACACACAACCATCCTCCCCATCCCTTGATGGGATTCCCCTCCTCTGGGGATTTCAAGCACCCACCCCATAAACTGCTTTCCAAACGCATCCCTGCTCATCATTGTTCCCAGCTCCTCCCAGATCTCGCCTGCTTCTTTCAGATAATTAAAGTTAGGCTGTGTGTTTGTATGTATGTGTGATCTTATTTTTTAAACACACACCCCCACACATACATATGCGTGTATATATACAAACACACGCAGCAATTAGATCTATCCGTTCCTGCCGTCGTCCCTCTCGTGCAGTACAACCTCAGCTAAACACATGTCCCCACATCGCCACACCATGAACCCAGCATCACCTAGTCACATACACACACACACACACACACACACACAAACGCTGGTACTTTCACACTGTAACACACACCCCTAGCTCCCTGGTGTTTCTCCAGGGGGCACGACCTACCTCCCACCCACCTCCAGGGCATCTGAATGGACTCCCCTGAGATGAGCCAAGTACCAGGAAGGCTCTGCTTCAAGGCCCCCCCACCACACACATGCCCCCAGTGGACATGTCTCTGGCTGAGCCTGACCAGGGTGGGTCTGGGTATTATTAGGCTGCAGAGACAGCACGGAGGCATATGGTCTCGTACACAAGAAATAATGTTCATGTTAAATCAGACCTCATGCATAATGCATGGTGCCTGATCTCACATTATTTTGGGTGTTCGTCAAAATCAGTGTTCTTTCTTGTGAGGGCTCCTGGAAAGAAGGGGAAAGGCGTTTGTTTGTTAATTGCACCCGCAGCCTGGACCAGGGAGCCGAGCGCGCCCTGGGAGCCTCCCTCTGGCCCCACTTCACCTACCACTGGGTCTCATCCCTCTGTCCTCTCCGTCTTTCCACATGGAAGGAGGGGCGACTCGGGTTTGTAGCAGGCGTAAGGCCCCGTGTTATTTTTATTTCTTTTCTCTCGGCTCTCTTGTCCCCGGAGGGTTCTGGGGAATAGCAGTGCCTCCGTCGTCCTCACACCCGATTCATTTGCTGTTTTATGAACTCCCCTTTGATTCATCGCCTCCCTGAGTCAATGATTCACTCCTGATGGCTTTTCAGAAATCCTTCTTCAAAGGCTCCAGATTATTCAGCTCTGAACAGGAGCAGACCTGGACCCTGCGCTGCTACTGCCCTCCCCACTCAGGAAGGGAAACTGTCACCATCCATGACCTTTCCCTGGGGCTGGCCGGCCCTGGGTAAGAGGGAATGCTCCCTCCCTGCAGAAATGGCTAGAGTTGACCCCAGTAGCTCATGGACAGACCTGGCCCTCTGGCAAGGCCCCCTCCTGCCACTGTGGGTCACCTGCCTTTTCCTATTGTCATCAAAGTCCCTGGGGATGCTCTCCATGTCTCGAGGGAGGCAGAGAGCCAAATGATGAAGCATAGGAGCTGTGGACCAGACAGATCTGGGTACAAATCCTGGCTCCACCTCTTATCAGCTGTATGACTTTAAACCAACTCCTTACCCTTTCTATGCCTCAGTTTCCTGATACCGTGCCAACAGCAATCCCTACATCATAGAGTTATTTTGAGGGTTAAAAGGCATGATGTACATGTAATGCTTAGTATAAGTAGGTGATGGATAAATGAAAGCTGTTTTATCGTAGGGCCTGGGCAGGGTATGAAAACCAAAATGTAGTGAATATTTACCTCGGACCTCACTCTGTCCAAAGCACTCTGCCATAATACTTATCCAAGCACTGACTTTGTGCTTTATTTTCATTATCTGACATTAACCATTCCTATTTTGCAGATGAGGAAACTGATGCCCAGAGAATTTGAGTGGCTTGTCTAAGGCAGCAAGACTAGTTAAGGATGCCGCCTGGGACAAAACCCATTTCTGACACCCAGGTCTGTGTAATTTTTCCACTCCCCGGTGGGGTGAAGAGCAGTGCCCAGTGCTTGGGGTATGTACTCAAAACGGAGGGGATCCCCGAACTCAGGACTGGGTCAGGAGAGAAGTGGGGACCAAGGGGTACTGGAGCTAATTGGCTAGGATCTGCCCCCTTCTCCACCACCCTGCAATCAGGTCAATCCCATGAGACTCAGGGAAGTTGGCTGACGTGCCAGGAATCACCAAGAAAATTAAGAAGCCCTCCTGATGTGTCCATTCAGAGCACCGTGTCCTGAGCAGCTCCATAGAGTGGCCAAGAATGCGGGCCCTGGCGTCTGCCCAGCCTTTCATCCTGGCTGTACTACCTACCACCCACGGGACCTTGGGCAAGCCATGTATGCTCTCCACACCTCAGTTTCCTCATCAGTCAAAAGAAGATGATGATAGCACTTGCCTGATGGGATTGCTGTGAGGATTAGTTGCGAGATGATCTACATAAGCACTTAGAAGGGAGCCTGGCATGTTGTAAGTGCCCGTTAAATGTTAGCTATAAAGTCAACTTTATATGCACAGTGTATATTACTGTATTATTGCTGGGACTGAAGCAGTGCCGAAAAATCATGCATAGTACTCTTTTCCCTCCAGAATTATTTCTCTTCATCCTCAAAACCATTCTGGGAAGAAAAGTTCAAGCTCTCCATTCCCAGTCCACAGATGAGGAAACAGGGGCCCAAGGATGTTAAGGGACTTGCCCAAAATGACCCAGAAAATTAGTGGCAGGTGCAATTTCCCAGCCGATTCCCCACTTGTGACTCTTGTGGCAACCCCGAGCCCCTGGTAATACACTCAGAATCCCTTCTAAGTACTAAGGTTCTGGGCTGGGTTCTGGAGAGACAGCACCCATAGGGTCAGGGAAGGCCTCATAGAAGGTGGTACCATTAAGCTGGGTCAGGAAGAGTGAGTAGGGGGGTCACTTCTGGGGCTCCTAGCTCAGGGTCTGATCCCGGGGAGGCAAAACCACTCAGCCCCAAAGTCCCTAGACTCCACAAATTCCCCCTTCCTAAAGCTTCGTGCCTCTTCTTGCCCTGCTCAGGACCCTTCCACACACCTCCTCTGACCCCAGCACAGAAGAGTCAACTCAGGGTCAAGACCCCTAAACCCTGCAAAGCCATCTACCATGACACTAATCTAACTATAAATTCCTCCAGGTCCCAACTCCTGGT